CAACGGGGCTCGATCTCATTACCCCGAGATCCTCACCCGAGCCGAAACCAAGAATCAGGTGCTCAACCGACTGAGCCACCCAGGTGCCATGAGAGGCTACATTTCTAACAAGCTGCCTGGGGACTACATTCAGAGAAGCTGCAGAGCTTGGTGCCTGGTGAGGGCTCGGGAACACCTCACGTAGGGAGCTTTGTGTGTGCGGACTCCAGGGCCTGGAAGCTAGGGTGCCTGGGTTCCGGGACTGCTTCTGTCATCTCCGCTGCCCTCCTGGGTGAGCTATTTCTCTTCTCTGGGACTTTCTTTTCCCTGCTGTGAAATGGCTTGACTTTCGGGCAGCAGCTGAGGGAGCATCTGTAAAAGCCCACTGATACCAGGTGATTCTGGTTAAGAGTGGCAGGCGCGGGGGGGTGGGGGGAGAGCTTTGAGGGACCCCGGGCCATGCTGACTTCTGCCTCCTCACCCAGGCTGTGGCAGCGCACCAGTCCCTGGGGGCTGTTGACCTCCCCAGGCCTTGCTCCTCCTCCGACAGAGCTTTGGGGTACTCTTTCAATAAAATGAGAAAGAGCCATTTTAATTCACTTGGATGCCTGGCCTTTGCCATATTGTCGTTGCTGGTCCGTTCCTGATTCCATTCTCCACTAAAGTGGACACGTCGGGGGTCTCTGTGACATTCAGTTTCCTCTCCTCCTGCCCCGTGCCTGGGCTGGAGCAGGCAGGGCGAGGGATGCGTAGCTGGATGTTCATGGCTCGGAGCTAAAGCCACACTTGGAAACATCCCCACTGGCCTTGTGAGCCCACGAGCTGGCTTCTGGACAGATGCTTCGGCTCCCCGGGGCCCCAGTGCCTCATCAAAAAAGTGGGGATTTGAAGGCTTTCTCAGAGGGAGGCTGGGAGGATGAAGTGGGAGCCAGTAGGTGGGACGCTCGGCATGGTGCCTGGTGCCACAGGGGCTCAGTGGAGGTTGGCTTTCCCCGGGGGAGAGCAGTCCTGGCTCTGGCCCGGATCTGCTCCAGTTGGACACACACCCAAGTGTAGTGGAAGGTGTGTGTGCGAATGTGTGCAGTGCGTGTGTGTTGTCATAGGTACTTGCGGAAGGGGAAGCTGTCGGGACCAGGACGGAGAAGGCCAATAGACTTTAGCCCACTTTGTTGAGGCTGTTGAAGTTGCATCCCTGTGTGGTGAGCAAGCGAGCCCTGATCGATGAGTGATGTCTGCCACGGCTGCGGGATCGGGGAGCTGGGTTAGGTTTACCACATCTAGTCCATCTCTGGTCCGGTGAGAGCCCATTCCTCTCACACGTCCAGCACACTTGTAATGCTTCATATCATCACCCTATTTTTCACATCGTCATTGTTATCATGTTCATTTTTTAGGGAAGAGTGGAGGAGAGGAACTCCATTTCTGCAAAGTTGCTCCGTATCTAGATTCTGCTGGGATTGGCCCTTCTGTTCCTTCCACAGATGTCTCCCAGCCCTTCTCTTTTGGGGTGTGTGGTGTGGGGTGATGGTGGGGGGGTCGGAAAGGGAGGGGAGATGAGCTGGCACAGAGGCTGAGCCCCCTGGCTGGGACCACCAGAGGGTTCCACGTTTAGGGACACCACCCCTGCACTGTGGCAGGAACTGGGAGGCGGTGATACCAAAGGACGCAGGGCTGTCACTGGACCCTTTCTGGGGGTGGGGTGGGTGAATCTCATGGGAAAACTGATGTCACTGTTGGAGCCCTCCTGTCTTCACAAGTGCAGTGAGACCGTAGCGGTCACCCAGGAACCTGGGGGAGAGAATGCCGACGTTGATTGCCTGTTTACCTTGGGCTGTGTGCGTTAGGAATACCAGCTCATTCCATTCAGTCCTCTGGACCCTCCTGTCAGGGGGGTACTCATAGTTTGCCCATTTCCCAGAGGAGGAAACCGAAGGTCAGAGTGGATCAAGCATCTTGTCCCAGATCTACTGGCCTGGAAGTGGCAAAGCTGGAGGATAGTCCTGGGGAGCCCTATTTTAGGACTCCCTACCTGAACTCCTCCATTTTATAGCTACTCTCCGGGTACCCTCATCTAGTCCATCTGTCCCGCTAGACGAGCTCTGGTGGATGACTTCTGGAAGGTTCCCCTTCCCAGTAAGGATGGACCCACTTCCTTTTTGGAGTTCTTGGACTATTACTGGATGTCTTTCTGTTCTCACTGTTTTCTTGCTAAGCAAGGCAAGGGAGAAAAGGAAGACAATGGCCAAGCAAGATCCAGGCTTCTGCCCCCTCTGCCCAGGATGGGCCAGGGGAAGGATTTACGAATAATTCTCAGAAAAGTTGCATCTCTTTATAGGTACTCGTTCTAAAGCCAGTGTTTAAGGGGAAAGTCAAGCATTGCCAAGATTGCTGTAAACATGGATTACGAAGCTGCCCACTTGGAGACCCACCCACACTCTCTTGATGGATCTGTGCAACAGCTTTGCCTCCCACATTGGATCATACTGCCTTTTGTTATAAGCCCTAGATCAAGGGGAAGAAGTCTTCTGGTTAGGAGCCATGTTGTCCAAAAAATAGATTTCTTTAAATCCTAGACTCACCCTCCTGGTGGTGAGGTGCAGACCGACTGATGAGGGGGCTGCAGAGTCCTCATCCTCGTTCTGGGGCTGTGCTCACTGGGGAAAAGGCAGGTGGTCTTAACTGAGCTATTTCAATTGTTACTCTCGTTTTGGCAAGTGGTCAGGGAATCATGAGAGCTAAATAAATGGGTCATGATGTGACCCTGTTATGAGATCTTGGCTCCTCTGAGGGTCTGAGCTTGGTGCTAAGGGGGCTGCCATGGGGTGTGGGGGGGTCTTGGGTCATTTTATCTTTAGCTGTGGAGAGCCTTTGCTTTCTCCTGCCATCACTCCCCCAACTCAACTGACTGCCCAGAACCCATCCCCACCTGAGAGGACCCCAGAGAGTGTTGGCCTAGTGGTTGGGTTTGTTTGCACTTGACCCTGGTCGTTTGGCCCTGAGGCCTGATGCCAGAGGTGGTCATGGGCTACATTTTACAGTATATTTGTGTGAGTTAGAAAAAAGGCTGGCCATGCCTTTGTGCAAAAGGTGGGTACATCTTGCTCTAGGCATTCATAGCCCTGCACCAGGACACGCTGTTTAGTGGAGAGTGTGGGCTAAATTTCAACCCTCTCTCACTACCTCTGCTGGGCCCCTTGTGCAGTGCACAACCCGCTCAGCCATACACAACAGTCCTCCCTGCTTTACGCTTTTTCACTCCTTGAGATTGCTTAGTACTAAAAGTCGGGAATAGTGACACTGCATTTCATGCTTGACAATGAGAATCTGGGCTCTAGGTATATCCTTTACCTTCCTCGGCCCTGGCTTAGTGTAAGTGAGAGGGTTTCTTTAAGGATGAGCCTGGGAGAGGCAGTCATGTGGCTCTTGCCTGGCTCACCACCTCCACTGGGGCAGGGATGCCTCTAGGGAGCCTCTGTCTGACCAGTGTGGGCCCAGCCCTTCCCTTTGGGTGGGATGATTAGTGGGGCCAAGGCCAGTAAAGCACGGAGAGGTCCCCTAAGACTTTGGGAACACCAGCTAGAGGTGGGGCCAGCTGAGAATACTCTCAAAATAAAAGCCATTAATTTAGTGGTTCTTAAACCTTTCTTTGGCAGGCAGGAGGTGGTGGTGGTGTTCTAGATCTTTTTGATGAAACCCATGGATTCTTCTCCCAGAAAAATGCCTGTCTGTTCACATGTGTGGAGGCTTACATCCAGGGGCAGGACCTTCTCAGATCCTTGAAGCTAGGCCGAGCAGCTGGTCCTGGTGTGGATTTGGGAGGAGGGAAGGGGGTTCCTGGGCCCCGCTGACCTTGCTGGGGGCTTCCTCTGGCCCTCGGGTTAGTACTCACCGCTCTTCATCTCTCTCGTTGCCTTAGAACTTGTCCCCGAGCTTTCCTACCTCTGACCTGCACCTTGTCTGCCAACCCAGGTCCTGTCTGACCTTGACCCCCCTGCCCCCCAGCAGCGGCCCTGGGGAGGTGGCTTACACATGTGCCCACCTGGCACCACATGCCCCATGCTGCTGGGTTCCCCAAGTCCAGAGGCCCAGCACACAGTCCTTGGGCCTCACCGGCATGTCGTTGATGGCAAGGCCATCCTGGTGCACAGGGGCAGGCTATGGGCCCTTCCGGGGTAGGGAGCTGTCGTGACTTACAAGCCTGCTGCTGAGCTGGGGAGACGGTGTCTGGTGAGGCTCACGAGCTGTATACTCCCATGGGGCAAGCAGACATCCACGGCTTGTGATCCCAGAGCAGAGAGAGAACAGAGTTGTGATCTGTCTGAAGCCCGGATAGAGCTTCAGAATCCTTCTTAACACACCCTAAAAACCATGGTTAATACACTCTGTGCACTCTCCAGCGCGAACCCAGGCCCTGCACCCCCTCTGTGTATACATACTCGCGGCCGTGCCCCGACCCTGTGTGTTCACACTCACTGCGCCCTCTCCCCATGCTGACACACTTGCACCCACCCTGCCCTCCCCAGTGGCCAGCATTCACAGGAGCAGGTGTCCCTGTGTTCCCCCTGAGATGGCAGTGGTGCCAAACACCTTTCAATTATAAAGTTGGAGGTAGAGTCTGCAGAAGTTTCCAGAAAGCACCTAACTCCTCTGGCCGGCTGCTAGGCAGCCCCTTTGGCTGTTATCCATATGGGCCACGGTGCTGATAAGAGTTTTCCTTCCTCGGGGCCTGCTGCCCCCGCCAGCTATCTCGCCGTGGAAGAGACCGGTCTGGACAGAGGCATCACGGTCCGGCTGGGGGGGAAGGAGAGCCTCTGCACGTTCATGGAAACTCACGGTGGTGCTGGAGGGGCAAGGGCTTGCCTTTTTCTCATCAGGAATGCATAAAGGATGGCGTGTTTCTACTTTGCTAAGCGAAATGTGGGGGTGGGATGTTAGTGGGGTGCATACAGCAGTCGTAGGAAAATGCTTTCATGCCCCATGGCACCAGGCGGGCTGGCCACGGGCTCCTCGCTGTGAGAGACATGGCTCTGGAGAAGCCGGTGCGTGACGCGGCCACTTGCCTACGGTGTCCGCCACTTCCCCAGCCGGCTGGCATCGGGTCGCTCTCCTCTCGCACCTCTGCAGGCTTCTGGTCCTCGGCGAGGGAGCCTGAAATCCTCCCAAGGGCTCCAAAATGGCAGATGTCTTCATCCTTCCCATGATGGCCGAAGCCTGATCTTAGGGAGGGAAGGGTTGGGCATTTTGGGGACATCCTCCAGATCAGATGTGGAAGGTCACGCTTCTCAACCAGAGAACATGGGCTGTTTGTCCTGATAGCCGGAGTACACCGCGGACGAAGGGAGAACTGGGGTCATGCATTAATGTCATGGTGCCCGTGATCGACATGGTACCAATAGGGACGTGCAGACCTTGCTGAAGGTGACCAACAGAATCGCCGCATGGTAACCTTACAAACCGGGAACAGCTTCTTAATGGAAGCAAAATGCATAGATCTTAAAGTAAGTAAATGGTGAAATGTGAAGGAAATGGATTTTCAGGTGTGGCGGCGGGCGCTGTTAACTGCCCCTTTCACGCACGGCTGGCTTCAGATCGCTGGGAGCATCATCCGCCCGGGTTTTGGGGGCTGTCTGGTTGGAATCAGCTTAGCAAGTAGGATCTGTTTTGTCTGGTGCGAGGTCCTGATTCGTATTTACAGAGCTGTGTGTTTGAAAACCCACCCCGGCTGTAACTCGCTGAGTTCAAACCAGAGCCTCGGCCCCACCCCAGCTCTCCCTGGCCTTTCATCGTCTGGATTCTGCCTTTCTCCTCTCAGGATGCAAACTTGGGCAAGAGAGAACACTCTGTTAGCATTCCTTGGCCTGTTGCTCCTTGTCGTGGATGTCCCCTCTTGGGCGCGGTCTGTGAGGCTCCGGCTGGGGAACGAGAGCGGGGACAGATACATGATCAAGGGGGCCGCCCCTGCAGAGCTGGACTTGTCCAGCCCCGGTGCCAAACCTACCTGAGTGCCTGAGCCCCTGTTCCAGCAGATGCCTCCATCACCCCGCGCAAGCCTCTCTGCCACCCTATGGCTTAGGCACCATTATGAGCTATCTTTGAGATGGCCAAACTGAAGCTTAGAGGTTCAATAATTTGCTCACGAGTCAGAATCAGGATTCGAATGCAGGACCAGAGCCTAGCCTGCATGTTCTCACTGCTCGGCTACCCAGCACGCTTGTGGACCTGCCTTCCGTGGGCTGGGCTGGGGTTGCTGCTTATCAGTCCCGAGTTGCTAGGATTCTGGACAGCATCCTCTGCGCCTCTGTATGCGGTGGTTTCAGACTGCATCGGTCTTCCTTTCAGACCCACTTGTGCGTTTTAGGCCAGACTCTGCACGTACTCCCTGTAGCTCTGTACGACCTCAGGCACATCGCTTGGCCTCTCTGGGAGTGTTGATGAGGAGTACTCGCAATATTGCCTGGAAAGCACCCAGCACCGCGTCTGGCTCACCGTGTGTGCCCACGGAGGACAGCGATGGTGCAGAGGGAACGGGCGGGACCTGGTAGCTTCTGCACAGGTGTGGAACTTCAGAGCCCGTTAAATCTGAAAAATACTGTGTATGCACATTTTTGGCTTAAACATTTTACAGAGTCCATAACCCAGCTTTAATATTATTACATGCCCTAAACTGGGATTAATTCCAGGACAAGAGCTTTATTATGCCGAATAGAGTTTCTCCCGTGCTCCCCTGGCACTTGGCCTCCATCTCCAGCAGCCTGGTCTTACATGTTGGGGTACAGGGTGATGGAGGTGCCCCATCCCTACCCAGCCTTGTTCTGTGAGCTCAGGGGCGGGGTGGAGAGGTGAGTTGCTTTCTGATGTTACAGCCTGTGACTGCTGACCACAGGACCTTAGCATATCCTGAGGTTTGTCTGTGGGCCAGTTCTCTCAGTGTGTGCAATAGCACCCTGTGCTCCTCCAACCTCTGAGAGTGGTCTTATTTGCTTCACAAACAAGCTCTCTCATTTCGGTGGTGGTTTAAGGGGCTTTGGGGAGGAGGACAATGTCTGCGGGATCAGGGAGAGGTCTGAGTCTCTGCTGTCTTCCTGCGAGTGGCTAATGGCTTTCTCTCACGTGATTACAGGTAGTGATCGGCTGTAGCACGGTGAAGAGAAAGATCCTGATGCTGGCTCTAGGCAGTGCTGTGATTGATTTGTGATGTCTGCTAGGGACCCAGAGATGGGGAAACTGTACTGATCCAGCACTTACTCGCTATTCAGGTTTTATTCTGATTACTTTACATGTCCGTGAAGCCAACAAAGGCCTCTTTGTAGGCTTTATCCCCTTGCTCCTGATCGTGGATATTATAAGGACCCCCACAAATGACCCTTCTTCCTTGCCCTGTTCCCCTCCCTGATGGCCTGTTTGTACAGCTTCAAAACTCACAGGCCCATCTCTGTTCTCTCTTTCAGTTGAAGAGGGGGAGGCCTCGGACTTCTCGCTGGCCTGGGATTCCTCCGTGACTGCATCAGGTAAATGCCCAGGGGCTGCTGGGGGAGTTGCTGGGGGTCCTGGGGGGCGGGCTCAGGAACTCAGGAAGCCACCCAGCTGGTTATGGAAATCATATTCTTCATGTCACATTCCTGTCTCCAGGCCAGACTACCCTGTGCAACATGATTTTTATATCAGTTCCATATGGTCAATAAAATCTATTACATACGGAGACTAATATGCCCTATTCTCCTGGGGGACCACGTTTCCTTCTTGTGGGCGCATTCAGAGGGGCCATGATACCCCCACTACACAGGCTTTGAAGCTCCCTGCCATGGGCCTCACTGCACATTCATTCCAGTCTAATTGCATAAAACCCACTTTACTAGGATGTTTAAACTCCAATTGAAATCACAGTCCCCAGACTTCCCCTCCCAGAAGGGGATGCTCTGCACTCCCAGGCCAGCAACCCAAGCCCATGCCTCTAGGGGGAGGTAATAGGAGAAGTTCAGACTTGTGGGATGTGTGGCCCCCATTGGGTGATGCAGGCGACTTGGCAGTCAGGGGACTTGGGTTTTCGGCTCACTTCTGTCCTTGCGTAAGCTCCTCTGTGCCTCAGTTTCCCCCGCTCTAAAAAGGAGTGAAGGGATAAAGTTTTTCTAACTGTAAAGTCTTGTAATTTGGAGCTGCCTGTGGAATTTGGGATTAGAACTGGCTTTGGGGTCCTTGGGAGCTCCTTAGTGGAGGGCATGACTCTCCTGTTTGCTCTGCATCCAGCCAGAGCCTCTCTTGGCTCCCAGTCCGGCAGGTACAGCCTCTCCGGCCTCGTCCCTGTCCCAGGATCCTGACCAGCTGGTTCTGGATTTCTGGGGGAACTGGATCCAGGCGGATCTCGAGGAATCTTGGGCCTGAAGAGACTCTGAGGGAATCATTTAGTCCAACTTCCTTGTCTTCTAGCTGGGGAAACTGAGGCACAGAGGGAGCTTTGCTCTGGGTCAGTAGTTCCAGAAATGTGGTGTGAGGCATCAGGCATATGAACATTTAACGTTCGAATGGTCATACATTGGATTTGTGATTTTATGGCTACTTGTGACTTACGATGATGCTGAAGTCATTTAAGTGAGAAAGTTGCATTGACAATTTTAAGTAATGGTACACAATGCTTGGGTTCAACAAAAATCATGAAGATGGTTTGTAAATGACAGAAATTTGGGAAATGCTGGTATAGATTGCACAGAAGGGGAGTGGAGAGCTAGCATTGGAACCTGGGTTCCAGGACTCCTTGTCCAGTGCTCTTTCCAGCATGATGGGGAGCTGCCTGGAGAGTCTGAAGGGTCCTGGTTGGGTCCTGGCTGACTCAGGTTTGGGCACTGTTGTATCTGCAGGTGCCTGGCCCTTGGTGACAGGGTCTCCCTCCCTGGGAAGGGTGTCTGAAGCCAGAACGAGGGGGGTGGTGCTCACATTTTCAGAAGAGTCCAGGGTTAGGACAGACCTTGGGGTCCACACTGGGTAGGTTGGAGGAAAGGACTGCATAGCCCCTGTCCTGTCTCTTCCTGTACAGGGGATATGTACTCCCCCGTGGTTGGTGGAAACACAGTGAGATTATAAAGCTCCATGTCTCCTCCAGGGATCCTGACTCATATCGGGGTGCATGTGCTCAGGCTTCTGCCAACTCTGAAAAGGATCCCCACTGTGCTCTGAACCAGGAAAGCGCCCAGCGTGGTGTCCACATAAGGTCCTGCCACCTTGCCGCTTTCCCAATGGTACTGGAGGTAGTGAGGACAGACAGGAACAGCAGTGGGGTGCCAGGAGGGCAGTGGCGTTGGTCGTGGTGCATGGACAGCCCTGCGCAGGGGGCATCGGGGCCCCAGGCTGCATCCCTACGGCAGGGAACTCTCGGTCTGTGATGCTGAGGGGGCCGTGTGGGGGCCATGCTGGTCTTGGGTTCTCTGCTGCCGTCGTGGCATGGCCAGCCTCAGGGCCTCTCTGGGGCAGTTGGGCATCGCGGAGGTTGTGGGATTTGTCCGTTTCCAGCCAAGAGCTGAGCATGCCCCATACACTGGTGCAGGAAGAGGTACCTGACTCTTTGTGAGTCCCCTCCAGCCCTCAGGGACTCATGGTGCCAGTCAGCTTTGGATCATCTGCTCAGAGATGGGGAAAGGGAGGGCAAAGCATCCTGGGCATTGGATAATCCGCAGCCAAGCAATGGATTGTTTTGTTTTCATTGGCCCATTTCTGGCGATTTTTTACAGTGTGCGCATGTGATAAATTTTCCTTCCCAATTTTGTTGGGCTTGGGCTATTAAAGTCAGCTTGGATTCCCTGAGCATGGGGCTTGTGAGATGGTGCAAATCCTCGGTGAGGGGACAAAGTCAGTCTGGGAGGCAGCCCTGGATGAGGGTGATGTCACATTTATTGAGCCTTGGCTTGGTCCATGCCAGATATGGAGCAAACGCTTGACCTGCGGTATCTCACGGAGCCATCATGACAGCCCTATGAGGTGGGTGCTGTTTCCAGCGGCAGCACCAGAGTTCCTCCATAGGCTGGTTTAGGGGCAGCCATCTGGTGGCGGACAGGGCCAGAGGCCTGGTTAAAGCTGCTTTAGTGTAACACTTTTCATTAAGCTGAGAAAATGTCACTTGGCCGCATCAGAGAATGGGGGCAGGTGCCAAGGAAGATTATGGGGGGAGCAAAGCCTCCCCAAGCCGCCCTTGGCTCTGCCGCTGAGAATTGCCATCTTCATCTGGCGGACGGGGGAAGGAGGCTCAGAGCTGTAGAGTAGCAGACCCGCGGTCCCTGGCCAGCAAGCTGTGGAGAAGGAACTCGAACCCAAGTCCGCTTGCGGCCAGATCCCGTGGTTTCACCTCTGCACTGCATGGTGCCAGAGGTGGGCAGGGAGGCCGAACCTGACAGTGTGGCATCGTGGGGGCTTCAGGAGGGTCCCTGGAGGTACGGGCCATGAAGGGTCTTTGGCTCATCAGATCAAAGGAATCCAGGGTGAGGTGAGCAGGGTGCGCTGAGAGCGTTTTACCAGGAGGAGCTGTGGGCCACGGGGCAGCTCCTTTCCTTGGGGGCCTAGTAGCTGGGCTGCAAGCTTTGCGCGGTGCCCTTCCCCCTCGCCCGCTTTGCCCTGCCTGTGGGAGCGTGATGGAGAACTCCAATAAAGAAGCAGAATGCCCTGTGTGCTCTCTGCTCACCTCTGGCCTCCTCCGGCCTCCCCTGCCAGGGGAGACCCTATGGTCACCACCCCCAAGAACAACCTGGCCTGCTGTGTCTGTGCCCTCGCGTCAGGGCCCTGACAGTGATGGAGAGCCTGGCCCGGCCTGCCAGGGGGACTGGTTCAGAGCAGGGCTCCCCGGCGGGCCTGCGGCTTCATGGGAGCGGGGAGCGCCAGCCTCCGCCTGCCCCTCGGCCGGCAGATCCTGGGCTCCTGAGAGCAGAGCCCCGGGACCGAGCACTGTGCTCAGAGCCTAGGTGTGGGGTGCGTAGTAAGGGTGGGGTTTTAAATCATTCCCCATGGGATCCTGATTTTTCTTACCCATGAGAAGGGGGTGAGGGGGACGATAGCTTATAAGGAGATAATGGGAGCATAATTCTGAACCTGTTTTGAGCCCACAGATGCCTTTGAGCATCCAGTGGGAACATTTTACGTGTGATTTCAGGGGAGTTCGTGGGTTTGAATGGCCTCAGAGATGAGAAAGCCTTTTGTGAGAGCCCCATAGAGGTCCTCCCTGTCCCGAGGCTGGCCTGGGGCCCAGGTGAGGGGGCAGGTTGGGGAGGGTCTCTGGTAAAGTGTGACACAGACCCTGCTAGGGCACAGACTGTGCCAGGGACCTGCGCCAAATTGCCAGATCATCTGAGTTTTTATTTATTTATTTATTGAATTATTATTTTTAAAAAATTTATTTATTAGGGAGAGAGTGAGAGAGAGATCACGAGCAGGGGGGAACGGTGGAGGGAGAAGCAGGCTCCCCACTGAGCCAGGGATCCCTGATGCGGGACTCGATCCCAGAACTCTGCGATCATGACCTGAGCCGAAGGCAGACGCTGAAAGACTGAGCCACCCAGGTGCCCCCATCTGAGTTTTTATTTTTTATTTATTTATTTTTAAAAAAGATTTTATTTATTTATTTGACAGAGAGAGACACAGCCAGAGAGGGAACACAAGCAGGGGGAGTGGGAGAGGGAGAAGCAGGCTTCCCGCGGAGCCCGACGTGGGGCTCGATCCCAGGACCCTGGGACCATGACCTGAGCTGAAGGTACACGCTTAACGACTGAGCCACCCAGGCGCCCCCATGTGAGTTTTTAAAAGAGAGACCAGAAAGCTGGATTTTTGTGGGAAATCATCAGATTAAAAAAATGCAGCAACTCATATCACTTTAAGGTAGCTTGATTGAGATACAATTTACATATCATATAATGCATTCACTTAAAATGTACAATTCAGTGGATTTGAGTATATTCAGAGATATGTATCACCACCATCGTAGTCAACTGAGAACATTTTCATGACCTCAAAAAGAAGCTCTGTAGCCCGTAGGCATCACCTTCTATCTTTCCATCACTCCCAGCCCTTAAGCAACCACTCATCTATTTTCTCTATAGAATGGAATCATAGGATATGTAGTCTATATTGACCAGTTTCTTTCATGTAGCCTAATATATTTTTTTTAAGGTTTACTTATTTGTTTTAGAGTGAGAGAGAGAGAGAACTTGCGAGCGGAGGGAGAGGGAGAAAGAGGCAGAGAAGCAGACTCCCCACTGAGCAGGGAGCCTGATGCAGGGCTCGAGCCCAGGATCTGGAGATGATGACCTGAGCAGAAACCGAGAGTTGGACACCCAACCAGCTGAGCCACCCAGGCGCTCCTTGTGTAGCCTAATATTGTCAAGTTTATCCAAATTGTAGCCTGTACTAGTCCTATATTCTTTGTTATGGCTGAATAACGTTCTGTTGTATGGATAGACCACATTTTGTTTATCTGTTCTTCTGTTAATGGATGTTTGGGTTATTTTCCCCTTTGGGCAGTTGTGAATATGCTGCT